AGAGAATTTTTATCATCACAGAGGAGTTCTGAGGATTAAGGTTCTGCATCACTTGCTGTTGCTACAGTGATGTGAAGATGCAAGGTGCTAAGCATTGGCAGGGGCTTTCTGCAGTTTGAAAAAGCAAACAGCACTGAGAACAAGTAACCTACCATTGTTCCTGCTCTGCTGCCTTCCACAAGGCCTGTAGGAAGGTAACACGTAGGTAATTTGAGCCAGCAGAAAACCCTGGGAAGAGCCTGTGATGCTTTATATGCCAGTCCAAAGTCGCAAGAGCTACACAGAAGTCTGTAGGGAGTTCAGCTGCAGGAGCTCTGGCTGGCCTTAACCAGGGGCAGCTGTATGCTAGGAGAGGTTTTTAACTTATTTCAGGATGAAAATTGTGTTATACCAAGTTAAGGTTATTTTTGAAAGAATCTGAATATTGGACATGCCAAATTGTATCTGAAGCCAAAAGGGTATTTACAGTGCTGAAAACCTATTTTTCCACACCATGTATGTATTTCTGTAAACAAGAGGTTTCAATATAATAAAAGCAGCTCCATGATAAATGGATAGAACAAATGGGTATGTGCAGCTCTGCACTTGGTCCAGCAGTACAGCATGCAAATGTTTCCATGTGTTTCTACAGAGACTTGCGACTCGTATCAATAGGAGGTGGCACGGATGAAACCATGCTTTCCATCATCTGCAAATACATGGGAATACTTCCAAGCAAGTGACACATCTCCACTCTTCCTTGAAAATTAAGAAAGCAAGAGCACTGCTTGGACGGCACCTGACCGTAACAGCCACCACGCGTTTCAAGGGTAACACAAGTGGAAATGCAACAGTAGCTCTACCATCAACATGCCTGTCAAGTCTTTCACCTTTATTGCTCTACATGTTCTGCAGTGTCAAATTTCTGTTGATACAAAGCCATCTGAAAGCACTTGGCCTCCTGCAAGTTTTTTCTCTTTTAGTGGGTTACTGCTTTGGGGAGTCTAGTGATCCACGTTATGCACACAGAAAAAAATGTCTTCTTTAATCAAGGTGTATCTACATTTTAGAGCATCTGATCTCCCAGTGAGCAAACAGAACTTCCACGTGGATTCAGCGGTGATTTCACTAGTAGTTTAATCTAATTTTAGTGTAGCTTTGCTTTCAAGATCAGTAATTCCCTGCCATATTCAGATACTGGCACAGTGATTTACAAGTACCTTCCTTACTTTCATGTTAGGAAGTAATCATTTAAAATGAGCACTGTCATCTTTGCCAGGTTCACATTGGCTTGTACTATACTCTGTCATGGATGTTTGGTGATGGGATTGGGGATTGATTTTTTTTGTAGAATTCTACAAACAACTATTTAAATGTATCTGAAGCTTTTGGAGGCCTTAACTTCAGCCACAAGGCATAATGGTTTGTATGTAATTATTGAAAAAAAATAAAAATGTACATGTTAATATGAAAATTGTGTGTGATTACTTAAAATCTTCCTATGGCAGACAAGAGAGCCTGTATTATTGGAAAAAAAAAAAGATTCAGTGAAATTGTCCTTGTAGTCAAATGGATTAAGCATTTTCTGAGGAACCTCTATGATCCTGTAAAGTTAACAGTTCGATAGTTAAAAGATGGTATTTCCTTCCACCTGGAAATAATCTGTATGGCTGCTAGACAGTCTAAGTTAACATGAAACTGAGAAATGTAGTATATAAATATTATGTAGAAATCATGTACAAAAGATTTCAAAACCCAGAATCATCATGCCTGCGGTGTTCTTACGCAGCTGCTATTAAGTGCAACTTTGTAATTAATTGTAAAAGTACAATTAATGCTACCAGGATTCTTCTATTGTACCCACTGTATATTGTGTTTTATTCTATGAGGCCATCCTACAGCATCCTGAAATCTTGCTATTTGTGAATTTTAAGTCCTGTCAGAGTAATCTGTTTCTACCAGCAATGACTGGTAAGGGAAGCGCAGGTGCTAAGGAAAATTCTAAGGCTCCCATGCACTGTTCCCACCATTTGCCACTCTCCTTCCAAGTGAAACATTCTGAAAGTAGTTTCGCCTTTATATTTTATCACCTTGACCATTCTAAGCAAACTTGCAGGATTCCAGTTCAGATTTTAAACTGAAAACTGACCTTTTACTGGAATTGAAGGGAAATGTGCTACATCCTGTAAAATAACAAAACCACACAGAATGTAACCTTGTTACATTTCAGTTCAGACTGTTCATGTTAGAAGAGTCCAATGGAGTCCTGTTTCAGCACTTGAAGAAGCCCTTTGGTGTTCTTCTAATGAACATACAGATGTTGAAGGTTGTTTGGAGGTGTCATATACTCCTGTAGTTAAGCTTCCTCCTCATCTCCTACCCTGTCTAGACAACAAAGAAATTGCCCACCTTCCATAAATGAAGGAACACAGCCAGGAAGACACAGGCTTAGGATGTGGGGTGTCATCTTCCGCCCCTTTAATGTCCCCTTATTCCTCCACATCACTGACGAATGGGGGGATAAGGAGGAAGGAAAAAAAACGAGGTCCTATTTTGCATTAATTACCTTTCACTCTGGTTTGACATTAAGCCAAAAATCATGTTGGTTTTGTACAAGACCTGAAAGACTGCTAAAAGACTTTTAGCAGCGTGTGCTCTGGGACAACCTAGCACAGCCTTCAGAACAAAGACACGAACTTGAACAGCCATAACACTGGCTGCAGACATCCATTTTTCTGCTTTGTATGAGGCAGTTAAACACTTGTTCCATTTATTGGTATGGCAGATTGATTGCTAAGAAAAAGCGCCTAGAAATCGTTCAGAGACCATGTTTAAGAGCTGTATATTTCTAGAAGATGAGCATCAGGGGAGTGTGGCTATCAAACAGGTATGTCAGTCATACTTCCATTATACAAGAAAGAAATGTAGCATATACCTCACTTTAATACTGCTCCCCACACAAGTATAGCCCCTTAAAATATGCTGCTTTTCTACAGTAGAGAAGAACGTATATAAACAACACCAGCTGCAATACTACAGGACATTTTATTTGTCAGATCCTAATTAATTATTAATGGCAACACATTTTACAGTATTTCTAGAAAAAGTTTTTCCAAAATTAGACTATTTCAATATCTAGGAAACTTAATTTTTTTGCATGTTAAACTGAGCAATGTAATAGCTTCAACTATTAGAAACTATTTGGTGAGCTAAATCTAAGTCTTCAAAATTATAAAAAACACTCTTCAATATGACAGCACCTCTAACAGGTGCATCATAACATACTTGAATATAAAACTAAAAACATCTAACCTCCTATTTCAGGCATAATGCCGTGCAGATGTAGGGCATCTGTAGATCATCACAGACGGAAAAGCAAACACACTCGCGGTAAACATTCTAGTGATTCAATGGAATCATTAAGTTTTAGATACTTTAAATATAAAGAAAACATCTGTACTGTGTCCATATTGGTTGTTCCCAATGATCAAAGGCATTTATTTAGAAAAGTAGATGGGCAAGCATGATATGCCACATTAAAAAAGAAAAAAATAAATCCAGTTTTAAGTAAATTCTCCCCAAAACACAGATTTTAAGCTAGTTAAACACATACATTATCAGAGCTATCCACAAAAATAATCTTTTGGAGTACCACTATTACATTTGTTAGCTTCAGACCAGGTCAGCCTTTTAAATATCCACAGATACAACAAATTTAGAAAGATCCAAGTATTCATCATGCTTCTGCAACCTAGAAACTACTAACATGCCTGAAAGTGGAGCTCTAATTTAGAGAGTGCCCCACAACAAAAAGCAGAATGAAAAAGAAAGACTTTAAATCAGCAATTCCTTCAAATCCAAACAACCGTTGTTTTTGGTGGTTTTAAAATCAATTCTAAAAACTGTTTTCCCCTTAAAAAACCAACCTACTGTGCTAGCAGTTTCTACATATTTACAAATAATCCCCCCCAAAACAGGGGACGATGGGGAAAAGTCCAATACATTAAGAAAACTATATATAAACATTGCATTAATAGATAATGCAATTTACAACAATTTCACTGTGTTTTATCAACAGAATATGCCACTTTAGATCAATGTCTTCATTAAGACTGCTTCATAGGTAAAATCACATAATTTAAAACAAAGGTAACATGCATCACCTCAGTTTAATAATCCAGTATATTACAAAAAACACAAACAATGAGAAGAGCATCATGTAGCATAACAGCTTTGTCTGGCTTCCTCTGGAGAGTGTTCTCAGTCTGCCCATAGTTGCACCTAGAAGTCCACCCGTAGAGTCAAAATCATTGTCCTACATTAAAAAAAAACCACATCACCAAGCAAACAAAACAAGAAAAAAATGTTACTCTGAGAAGATTGCCCCTAAAGCTTGCTAAGTGTAGTTTCTCCTGGTTTGTTTGTTTTTTTTTTTTTCCTAAATTTTCCAAAACTATTTCAGAGGCAGTTTCTTAAAATTAACCAGGAAAAACTTCCACCCATTTATCTAGACATAGTATTTCCCCAAGCCAAAGCAAAATGTAAGCAAAAAAGGCATTCCATTCCTTATTTTTTGCACCCCTCTTCTATTCTTAATCACTATTAAGCATGGAACTGCCTTTTTAATAATATTATACATTTGCTAATTGAAAACAAATAGCAAATTTATCTTTTTAAGCAGAAATATTGCTGCTATATTAGTCACATTTTACAGCCAACATCAAGCTGTCAACATTTTAATACAAATGCTCCTACTAAAGGAAGGAATGCTTTATATTACTAACTTCATAGTCCTGTCCCATACTTAAGTTAGTGACTAAATACTTACCATTTCTGATAACATTTTATTTTGGTTTTTGACTTCGGTTCCGATTTCAATGGAAAGCTATTAAAAAAAAAACCAGAGTATTAAATATGAGTAATGTTATACATAGACAGAGAAACCAGTCTAAAACACATGACATGACCAGCATTTCCCCAGATACAACGTGAAAACTACGTAGTAGTTTGAAAAAAACAACATTCACAGCATTCTGCCAAAAACCCTTGGGAAAGTAAATATTTGTCATCTGACTACATGAGTCTAAAGAGTCACAGAAGGTCCTCAGTGCTGCTGCTCCTCTTTTCCAGAGAGCTCCTTAGTAGGAGTTTGCATGGACTTTGAAAAATTCAAGAACTAATCAAGTCTAAGTAGCAATGACCCATTTCCTGGAACAACTGTTAGAACTACTGGCACACAGCACAGAGGACCATGAGTACTCTGTGACTTGGTGTTGCTAGAGCTGACACATGTAAGATGCTTGTGCATCTTGTTTGAAGAGCTGCTGCTATGCTGCAAATAGGACTTGCAGGACAAGGAGGCAAGCCATGTATGCAAGTGAGAGTCAGTCCAGAGATAGGAACCAGGGTCAGCAACAGGCTGGAGATCACGCAGCACATCCACAGGTATGAGACACGACCCAGGTCAAGCCAAAGAGTCAAGCTGGGTGAGGGTCAGAATCAGGGAGGTAGGAGACCAAGTGCAGACAACTCAGCTGCCTCAGGGGCCAGCCAGGACAGCCCTAGCTTAAAAGCAGCTCCCAAGTGAAACAGAGGAGGAATGCTCACTGAAGCTTCTTAGCAGCTGTTTCTCCATAGCAGTTCTTATCAGCACACTTGCCTTGAACCACCACCTCAACTCCTTGAAGGGAGGGAAATTTGCTCCAGGACCACCATGCTTTGGATCAGCCAAAACCTGTATGTTTTTTTGACACAACTTAAATCTCATTACTTTTTACTGCTGCATTTCGCCACTATCTATCAAGTCAGGAGTGAAACATGAGGCTTCTGGGAATACTATCTGAAGATTATTCCACACTCCAAGATTATTATGTTGCACTAAAAGATGCAGCTGCAGAAAACACACATGCTAATCCATGGAGCATTGCCAACCACACTGTAGACTTACTCTGGGACACTGATTTGAAATATAACACACCAGAGAAGGAGATGAGAAATGAAATTCTGTAACAAAAATCAAAACTTTTCCTTTTACCTCCTTAACTAACTCTAAATTATTTAGGTGGATAATTTCTTAACTTATACCTAAAGTTTTATTTTCTACTTGAGACTGAACAAATTACTTTCAAGCAACAGTATATTTCAAGCAACAGAAATTTGAATGAGGTTAGGCCTCAGAATTCAGTGGCTTGTACTACACAGATAGAAACAAAACCTATTGCTAAGAACATATTTTAAAATATCTTAAGTTGGTAAGAAAAAAAAACCCTACACTATTTTAATCACGAGCTACTTTTCAGTTAGACCTGCTCAAAAGAAGTCCTCAATCTCTGGTAGGAACAGAATCATTAAAACAACAAATTTCTCTTTCAGCGTATATTAGCATGCTATTTCTAACAGCTGTTTCCATATTATAGATTTATCAGCCAACACAAGCAGAAGCTGATGAGCTAAAACTATAACACCAGTACCAAGCGGTCCATTTTCTTAAAAAACTTGAGCCAGTTTGCTGACCTAAACTCAAATCTTCTAGTTTCTGCAGGGACAGCAGTTTGGTTCTGTAGGACAGTAAACTCTAAGAAACACCACAACTATCCTCAAGATTAGCAAGCAAGGACACCTCTAGCTAAAAATCTAGTTAGAGGAAGAATCAGTTATACAAATGAACGGTTGTGAATTTTTGTTGACAATAATTCTTTCTTGTATTAAATTTGTGTTTTAAACTAAGTCTACAGCTTCACTGGTCCATGAGATTTAATTCAATAATGTGACAATACCACTGTAATGAAACACTTACTGATTTTATGGCGCTGACTTTTGTACGCAGGCTTTCCGTTAACCTGTCATTCTCTTCTTCGTAAACACTGTACCCACTGCTGGCGTGGGTGTAGTTGCCAGCAGCTGCCCCATCGCCTGGAAACACAGGGGTCCAAAATTAGACAGAATAAACCATGGCAGATGTGCTCTCCACGTGTAGAAAACACTCCTTCCTTGTAATATAAAAAAAAAAAAATCCTTAATATGATCGTCAGCAATCATGAAGAGGTACCTCCTGTTCCTGAGACACAGACTCAACCTTTTTCAAGTGTCTCTCATCTTTCGATATGCCCAAGACAGAAAACTGAGGAATGGTTGCAACTTAATACTGTGAACTTTTTCCCCACGCAGCGTTTACTTCTATGAGAATGCACCCCCATGACCTGGCGAGCTGGGGGGAGCGCTGCGGCCATCACACAGAGCGGCAAACCGGAGCCACGCTCCAGCAAGCGCCACTCACTCGCACCTGCGTCTGCAGGAGCGTGCTCTGGTCCTCACACGTACTCCTCTGCAAACAAGACCCCAGAGAAGCCAGGCCTCTGAGCAGAACGCTGCCATTTCTGTCACCATTCTGCAGTTCTAATCCCTCTCCTCCTGCTTTTGCTTTCCAGGTGACGGAGCTTCAGGACTGTTATCCAGACAACTGGCTCAGCAGAGTGCGTGCCACAGAAGGGAACGAAAGCTCCTCAGCTCCACACATTCCCTTCCTCCAATCTCTAATTAAGATGTCCTACAGACAACAACAGCATGGGCACAGGAGAATTAAAGCCGTGTCCTATCTAGACAAAAATCAGTCTTGGGCCTCAAATCAAAGATATGAAAACAAAGAAGAGAGACTGAGAAAGACAAACAGAAAAGCACTATTACAAGCTTTATGATAAAGATCATACCAGATTAATTCAGCTACCAAAGCAGCTGTAACATTTATCAGTATTTATAGGACTAGTCAGAATGCCACACTAAAATCGCCCAAATGCCTCTGGATAAAGGCTTTTGTGTTTGGGTGCCTTTTTACTTTTTGATGAAAAAGGGAGAGAAGAGACACCAGGCACATTCAAAGAAAAAAATCCATCTCAAACAGTTTCACTGTGTGCTTGGCATACATAATATTAAGGTGTTAAAAGACAGAATTAAGATTTTACTTTTGTAATAGATATCATTTTATATTAATGCAGAAAGCTAGTCCTTAAGTCTCAGTAATGACAACTTTTTAGTTTGTACCTGTAAACTGTTTCAATGTTATTCTGTAACTTAAGCTACTGACAAATTCTCAGTAAGTCTGGGTGAAATGTTTATTTCATTTCATCACAATGAAAATAAAGAAGTTCACACTTCCCCCAGTAAGTACCAATGACAACTGTAGAAAGCTGACTAAAAGGGCATCACTTAGAGAGTCAGGGTTGTTCCAGTTGTCTTGTCTTACAAACACATCTAAGTACAGTACTTCCTAACAGGTAGCACAAAATTTTGAATATAAGTTAATATGCCATATTGCTTCAGGCAAAAATACCATAACTATGATTACTACATAGACTGTCATAATAAGTGTTTCCAGGGGTGTAGCATCTACCACCTCTCTGGGCAACCTGTTCCAGTGTTTCATCACCCTCACTGTAAAACATTTCCTCCTCGTATCTAGCCTAAATCTATCATGCTTTAGTTTAAAACCATCATCCCTTGCCCTGTTGCAACAGGCCCTGCTAAAAACACTGTCTCCTGCTTTCTTCTAGGCCCCCTTCAAGTACTGAAAGGCCACAGTAAGGTCTCCCTGGAGCTTCCTCTTCTCCAGGCTGAACAACTCCAACTCTCTCAGCCTTTCCTCATAGCAGAGGTGTTCTGCCTTCTAGTCATCTTCGTGGTGGTCCTCTGGACTTGCTTCAACAGGTCCATGTCCTTCTTGTGCTGGCAGCCCCAGAGCTGGGCACAGTACTCCATGTGAAGTCTCAGCAGAGCAGAGGGGCAGAATCACATCCCTCAACCTGCTGGCCACGCTTCTTTTGTCGCAGCCCAGGATACAGTTGTCCTTCTGGGCTGTGAGCACACATTGCTGGTTCATCTCCAGCTTTTCAGCTACCAGTACCCCCAAGTCCTCCTCTGCAGTGCTGCTCTGAATCCCTTCATCCCCCAGCCTGCAGTGATACTGGGGATTGCCCCAGCCTATGTGCAGGACTCTGCATTTGGCCTTGCTGAACCTCACAAGGCCCACTTCTCAAGCACGTCCAGGTCCTTCTCAATGGCACCCTGTCCCTCAGCTGTGTCAACTGCACCGCTCACCTTGATGTCATCTCCAAACATGCTGAGGCTGTACTCCATCCCACTGTCTCTGTCACTGATGAAGATACCAAACACCACCGGTCCCAGTACAGACACCTGATGGACACAACTTGTCTCTGATCCCCATCTGGACATCCAGCCATTGACCACTATCCTCTGGATGAAGCCATCCAACCAATTCCTTATTCACTGAACAGTCCATCCATGAAATCCACTATGTAGAAACTTGGCTGCTATTGTTTACAGGAAGGACAGAAACTTAAGCATGGCAGTTCTATGGGCTGTCTTGCAATACTGTTGGTTGACAGGACATGTGATATTGACATGATCATGACACAATCACAGGCAGAGGTACCAGGCAGCTGATGCCCTCAGCAGAAGTACTAGTGTTCAGCCTCTATTTCCAGCTACCAAACAAAAACGAATTCTAGACTGATAATTGACATGTCAAGGGAGAGCAGCAAATTTTACTGCAGCTAATAACAACCATAATAGTCATTTAAGTCTTCTGCTTGACTTTCCATCAGACTTTTTTTAAGAAGTAGTTTCAGGATGCTCCTTAAGGCATAGTTTGCCAGAGATATGCTAAAAGGCGGCATGATCTTCCCCCTGCACTCCTTCCAGAGACATCCATTACTTTCTTTTTTCAGAAAAGGCATACCAAGCTGAATGATCTTCAGTCTAACCTCTTTCAGCTCCTATCCAAGAGTGATCTGTTAGCCTTACAAAGAGAAGGACTAAAGACCTTACCAGATGCTCACCTTTTTACAATAAACATCCCAATCCCTCTCCCTCAGTCTAGTAAGAAGTGAGCCCAAGACTTGTTTTACTTTGTGGAGATACTATAATGCAATGCAAAAGTATAGAAGTAAAGCTAGGGTGGTGTTACAGACACAGCTTGTTTAGCCATATGGCACGTATCACCCCCTAAATATTCACTTTCTGAGATGATGTAGCAGAACTCAGTCATAAACTTCTGAGGCGTAAACACTACCTGAGCTTCAGACTGAGGTCATAGCACATACGTGGTTTTAGAACGTGGCATGTGAGTTCAAAGTTTTTTTTATGGTCATCAGTGTGACTCCTGGTTGAAAAATGAGGCCTAAGCTCCTCAAAACGCTCAGCAGGAGCTCTGCAGAAACTTCTGCGTTTGCTTCAGATTATATTTGTAATAAATTTGCAACAGTTTAGTGTTTTGTTTTTTCTTTTTTTTCCCAAGAATGTTACAGGAAAACATACAAAAATACTAAAATTATAAAGCAACTCGTAACGTGGGAAGGCTTAAGAGTGACAAATCTGTCCATCCATAGAAACATGACTCGAACTAACCCTGTGTTAGAACCACGCAGGAACACAAACACAAATCCCGGTTATCGCTTAATAAATCCAGGAAGAAAGGAGAGACAGAAGGGCAGGTAACGGCTTTTCCCACCCAAAGCTCCCGAGCTCTGCAGGCTCGGACACCGCACGGCCCGCAGGAGGACAGAG